GTATGTCCATTTAATGCACAATTTTCTTAATTAAAGAAACATCAGTTGTGATATTGGAGAAGATTTAATAATCAAAACGGGAAGGATTATCGGTGGAAAAATAACGGACTTATAAAGAAGATATTTTTTTCTATCAATGAAACACTGTCACGGCGTATATTTATATTTGCTTATTACAATATGCACTTGTAATTATTTTTTGATGTTCCAAATCTAAACTGCAACCGCGTTATTATCCATTTTTGTGTATCTGAAAATCAAATGTTGATGTTAATATATTTGATGCTTACTATAACATTACTATGCTAAAGTTTTGTTTGTCGAAAGTTACTAATTAATTTATTATAGTACTAATTATAATATTGAAATGCTCTACAAGGGTAAATAGTACTAGCTCAGTAATAATATAATACTGGCTCAATAATTTAACAAATTAAATTAAAACAAAGAAACTGTTTCATAAATTTATAAAAGTTTATTATTAAATAGATTATATTACATTTTCCAAAATTGTAAACCGTATCTGTTTATTTGATATATTATTAAGTTAATTGATTACAATTAACACTTAGTAATGTTATTCAAAGAAATGTTAATGAATTCATAAAAGATCAGAGATATAAAAAGGACATGTGCAAAGTATTTGTCAAAATATATATTAAATAAACTGTACCTTCTGTACTTCAACTCATCCTACAAGTACGCGGCATTGTCCGCGGTTATCTTTTTTCTGACCAGAAGGACACTCAGGCCGTGCTGGAACTTGTATGATGTAGCCTGCTGATTCAGTAGCTACCATCGTGATAACAGTTGAGATTAACAATACCGTGATCATCAAAAATATAGAAAATGCGCTGGTATGACTCCTTTTCATGTTTCTTGCAGAGAATAGTCGCAGTTGTCAAATAATTGTCAACTTGTGGCATTTTGCGTCAAAATGTTCCCTTTTATACTATTAAAGTCATAAACAATTTTAATGAAAAATAAACGTATCTGACAAGAAAGTCACGATTCTCTATAAAAATGAAACAGGAATTAAATGTGAAATATTTTTTATATAATTTTTATTACACACAATATACCTTTATACATATATACATATGCATAAAAATATATACATAAATTTTTTCTTTTTGTAGGACTAAAAAAACAATTATTTTTTTACAAGAAAGTTAATTTAAAAAATTATATAACATGAAGGAATTGTAAATAAGTCTTTAATTATTATCGCGTATTTTGTAAATTGTTTACACTGTTTTATATAATTTGATTAATCCTGAGTTACTTACTAATTAACAGTTTTTTTTATAATTCTCAAGAAATGGAGGGAGGAAGTGGTAAAGAACTTGTCCTGTCACTATGCGTGGATCATTTCAAATGAGACATCCTGTATAATGTTATTTATAATTCTCTCCATTATTCCTGAAAATTAACTGCATTAGTCAGATTCTTCTGTATTTGCAAGTGCTAAAATTTAATGTTAATATTGTTAACAATTATTGTCAAGTTATTACATGTAAGAATTTTTATTTTTGTAATTTAATCATTAAACTATCGCAGAAATTAACAAATAATGTTTTGAAACAATAAATCTCTATAGAAGTGTATATTTTATATGCATATGTATGTCCATTTAATGCACAATTTTCTTAATTAAAGAAACATCAGTTGTGATATTGGAGAAGATTTAATAATCAAAACGGGAAGGATTATCGGTGGAAAAATAACGGACTTATAAAGAAGATATTTTTTTCTATCAATGAAACGCTGTCACGGCGTTTATTTATATTTGCTTATTACAATATACTTGTAATTATTTTTTGATGTTCCAAATCTAAACTGCAACCGCGTTATTTTTGTGTATATGAAAATCAAATGATGATGTTAATATATTTGATGCTTACTATAACATTACTATGCTAAAGTTTTGTTTGTCGAAAGTTACTAATTAATTTATTATAGTACTAATTATAATATTGAAATGCTCTACAAGGGTAAATAGTACTAGCTCAGTAATAATATAATACTGGCTCAATAATTTAACAAATTAAATTAAAACAAAGAAACTGTTTCATAAATTTATAAAAGTTTATTATTAAATAGATTATATTACATTTTCCAAAATTGTAAACCGTATCTGTTTATTTGATATATTATTAAGTTAATTGATTACAATTAACACTTAGTAATGTTATTCAAAGAAATGTTAATGAATTCATAAAAGATCAGAGATATAAAAAGGACATGTGCAAAGTATTTGTCAAAATATATATTAAATAAACTGTACCTTCTGTACTTCAACTCATTCTATAACTTCGCGGCATTTTCCGCGACTATCTTCTCTCTGACCAGGAGGACACTGTTCCGGAACGGTTATGACGTTGTCTGATTCAGTAGCTACCATCGTGATAACAGTTGAGATTAACAATATCGTGATCATCAAAAATATAGAAAATGCGCTGGTATGACTCCTTTTCATGTTTCTTGCAGAGAATAGTCGCAGTTGTCAAATAATTTTCAACTTGTGGCATTTTACGTCAAAATGTTCCTTTTTATACTATTATAGTTGTAAACAATTTTAATGATGAATAAGCGTGTCTGACAAAAAATCACGATTCTCTATCACGATTCTATAAAAAAATAAAACAGGATTAAAATGTGAAATATTTTTTATATAATTTTTATTACACACAATATACCTGTATATTTATATACATGTATACATAAAATGTATACAGGGTGTCAGATTCGATATGGACAATCCCAAAGATTATAGTAGATTGGGTTAAACTGAGAAGAAAAGTTATATAAAATTTTACAAAATCGTAATTATTATCGGCCGAATTCAGAAAAACGTCTGAGCCAATAAGTGCACGGAGGAGCGGAAGGCTGGACTCGGCAGCATGCAAAATGGTGTGTTTGTTGACATCTCTCAAAAAACGACAGCGAACGCGTTCGCCCGCTCACCGCTCCCCGCTCCCCGCTCGCCACCGTCTCTCATCGATCGATGCGTGACTCCACCTCTCGCTATCGATTTTTCAGAGATGTCAACAAACACACCATTTTGCATGCTGCCGAGTCCGACCTTATTGGCTCAGACGTTTTTCTGAATTCGGCCGATAATAATTACGATTTTGTAAAATTTTATATAACTTTTC